AGCTGGCCTCGGTTAGAGCTGGCCTCGGTTAGAGCTGGCCTCTGTTAGAGCTGGCCTCTGTTAGAGCTGGCCTCTGTTAAAGCTGGCCTCGGTTAGAGCTGGCCTCTGTTAGAGCTGGCCTCGGTTAGAGCTCGACTCTGTTAGAACAGGCCTCTGTTAGAGCTGTCTCTGTTAGAGCTCGACTCTGTAAGAGCTGGCCTCTGTTAGAGCTGGCCTCTGTTAGAGCTGGCCTCTGTTAGAGCTGGCCTCTGTTAGAGCTGGCCTCTGTTAGAGCTGGCCTCTGTTAGAGCTGGCCTCTGTTAGAGCTGGCCTCTGTTAGAGCTGGCCTCTGTTAGAGCTGGCCTCTGTTAGAGCTTGACTCTGTTAGAACAGGCCTCTGTTAGAGCTGTCTCTGTTAGAGCTCGACTCTGTAAGAGCTGGGCTCTGTTAGAGCTGGCCTCTGTTAGAGCTCGACTCTGTTAAAGCTCGACTCTGTTAGAGCTGGACTCTGTTAGAGCTGGACTCTGTAGTTCAGTCGGCTAGAGGGCTGCACCGGAATCGAAGGGTCGCAGGTTCGATCCCTGCCAAATGGCATTTTTTGCAACTGCTCCTGGTTAGGTCTGATAAATCGAAAGTTCATCTACAAAACCCATCTGTCAACGTTTCAACCTCTTTTTAATTCCCACCAATACTATATTACACAGCACTACAAGTACGGTAGTGTTTGCAATTGCAGACAATGGAGTTAAACAATCAATTTACACAACATACGTACCATGAAGTAAATTCATAATCCCATAATTCATCGACTTTAATCGTCATTCCAGTTCCTTCCACAGACAACCCAGTCCCGTTCAGAATAGATATACGGGATTTTGGAATTTTGACCTCAGACAACTTTATACTACACAATGAATGGTACATTAATTAATGGTACAATGGTTCATCAGGGTGCCCAACTCACAAATACTGATTTTCAGTGGGGCCTTAAATTAGATAAAATACTTAGTCGAAATATGTATGTATAAAAGATTAAATGTTGTATGCTAAAATGTAGTTGTTAGCCTAAGGATATATAATCAAGAGAATAAACGACTTCTTAGTTTCAATTTAAAGGTTTTAAAAACTGCATGTAACAATGTTTCGTAGGGAACACATTTCAACCATTGCTCCCTAAATGTAAAAGTGAGTTTACCGTAATTTCCGTTCGCTTTTTGGAGATACAAGTTCATCTGTTCATTGTGTGTATTATAATTATGTACAAAGGAGATATGTTTAAAATTAAAATCTAATCCCTTATTCAAGCTCTTGTACATCATAATACAGCAGTGGAAATCGATTTCGCTAAGTATAAATCTTGCTTCTGTTTGCATGCATGCATGGTATCCACGGGATCAGTAATATTGCGAATAAAAGATAAACCGGAGCGGAATATGCTTGTCAATTCTGATCCAATAGTTGAAAAATATTGATTTAGTCAGTTTGAACAATGTCATAAGATGAATATTGAAGTGTAGTCATTCCCGTCAGTTAAGCTATTAGCGGTTATTCGTTTATTGCGGAGGCAATATTTAGTTGAGGTCCCTCTTTCGTTCTTGGTGCAAAGTTGCCCATGTTATCCTACCAGTCCCTATTTCTGCATAGTCACTTAATCAAGCACGGTTTGGAACACCTTATACCTTGGTACCAGCAAAATATAAGTAAGCAGATGGTCAGAGCTCGAGTCAGAGCTCCGACTTGGCATGCAGGAAAACAAAGAAGAACCGGACGGTGAGATACTGAGATTGTCGTACCTCTGGTAAGTACGCGAATTATCGCACCCGCACATTGCAGGTTAATGCCTTATAAACAGTGGACATGGGAAGTTATTGTGGTGACCACATCAGTACATAACACTGTCCCCTTGGCGAGTAAAATTGCAGGCGTTCGAAAGGATATTTTTAATAACAACCAAAGACTGCATACCTCTACCAGCGATTTAAATCAAGTATCATGCACAAAATAAAGAAATTATACAATGGCTTATGCATTCAGTTTTCTCTACCCGTCAGAGCAAGACAAGCTTTTGCCAATTTCTCATTTAGTTTTCGTCCAAATTGAAATAAAATTTAATCGATTTGTTCTTAGCCGATTGTCATTACACCAACAAATTTTCGTGTTAATAAGTTTGATATTTTCAGTTATCGTGCTAACGAACAGACACACACACACACACACACACA